GGCAGTTTGTTTTCAGCGCGGCGGAGGACGGAGAGGCTCCGGCGGTTCAGTTGGGCGGCGGTGGTAAACAAAACACAAAACAAAAGGGGGAAATATGAACAAAAAAAGGGAAACTATTATCGAGAGTAATTAACAGCGATGAATGAATAAATTACATTAAAAAAAAAAAAGAATAAAAGAAAAAATGATTTATTTAAGTTTTGAATATATCTTACTAACAAAGTTGTAGGAGCGTTATTATTTACATTTAAAATAACTGACTTTATTATATAATAATTTCATAATGTATTGAGCCTATAAATACATATTAGCAATGCTAGGCTCAGGAATAACCATAAATAACTTTAAAATACTCAAATATAACTTCACTCTCCATGTCTCTCCAATATCCTATTTCCTTAATCACTACATGTTAATTATAACCATAATTGAGTCTATCTCAATCAATATCTATATTTCTCAAGTTTCTCGACTGTGAAGGAAAATTTGCTCGACAATTGAGTATGGAATTCTTCACAAAATATTTATCCAATTCATTCATTGTCGTATTTTTCTTTTTTAAATATTTGCATTTGGACGATAGTATTTCATTCATTTGAGAAATTAATGTCCTATATGACAATCATACACCATATCTCAACATTTTGAAAATTGTAGATAAAATTCAAGAACGAAAAATACAACAATGTTATTTTCATTTTAGACTTTTGCACTTATTTGTCTCATAGTTTTATATATCCAAAATACATTGGTTTCAATTTTAAGTTGTATTTAATTAATTTCTGTTGTTTTAAACAAATCATAAATATCTACATGACCTATTTTTATTTTTTTTTTATTTTGTATTTTATGGATTATATTTTGTATTTTGGAGTTCTAAAATTTGTTTTACTATAAGACATGACCATATGAATAAAATTTTGGAGTCATTTAATCTCTTTTGATTTATCGAGTAAGTTTACAACGTAAACATGTATTTTTGGCAAGTGCTTTAAAAGATTTGATCATTTGCATTGGTTTCAACACATTAAATTATTTCCACGATAGATATTTCATTTTATATTTTTTTTTCCATTTTAAATTGGACCATAAAATTATATTATGTATTATTTACCTTACTTTTATCTTTCATGCAATAGTAATATTTCAATCAATATATTTAATCCTTTCAAGTCACGAATGGAAAAAAGACAACTTATATATTTGATCTCACCACCATAGTAAGTGAAACTTAAACTTGGACAATAAGTTTATGCTATTTTAAAAATGGTTAGGATGGGTAAATACAAAAATTTTATATGATTTTAATTTGAGAATAAGCTAGTAGAAATGGTTATTTCTAATTAATTTAAGATAAAAAAATCACGTTACTGCGAATGTGTACTACTGTGTGCGTTTGATTGTGTGACGATATTGCGTGTAATATCAAGCTATTCAATATTATTCTAATCAATGCACTGCTCAAATAATAGTTGAAATTTTAATAAACCGCAAAATTATAGAGTTGAATTTTACGAGTTCAATAAAGTTTAACTTACGAACTACTCGTTACGTTTGTAATTTACAAGTATCATAAAGCGTAATAATTTTATACAAATTTTCTTTGTAATTTTTTTTATGATTCAAATATCATAATAAAATTTATTCATATTATATTTTAAAATATTAAAATATAGTCATAGTTATTGAGAACAGAAAAAAGTTAATTTGTCCAAAGTGTTCATCTTGTTGCCGAAAATCAAAATATTTTTGTTATTATTTTTGTTAAACTTTTGGAATCTTAAGAAACCAACAAAATAAATAATGATTTCCAAAGATTATCATCACAATTTTTAATTTTTCCCAAACTATCATCTGGCTCGGAACGGAACACATCATAATTTGAGGGTAATATAGACATTCAAGCAAATAAACTAACAGATGCAATTATTTTAACTACTGTTCACTCGCAGTGCTTTTCATAACGCCTGCCACTGTGCACGTAAAAAAGCGGTACCCAATCAGCTCATTTTAGCCGTTTACCCCACTCACACCTTTTGCATTTCACTTTTCAGCTGCCTGCTCAAGCAAAAGCTCTGTGGAGTAAAAATCTGTAAGAATTTCTCTCTCCCTTTCGTTTTTTTTCTTCTGCAATCGTTTCTGCTCGATCTTCTCCTGCGTTTGAATTTCTATATATATATATTTGATTGTAAATTTAATTTGTGAGAGTATTTCTCAATTATTGTCAAAAATTCATACAAACACTCTATTTATATATGTAATTTTATGCTTATGAATTATTATTTTATAATTAAATTTGTAAAGTTGTAAAATATATATGTAGTTTGGCGGGTGTCGAAACCAACAATAATAAATTCCTACTCGTCTAAAATATAAAATTGTAGTAGCAATGAGTAGGGCCGTATCCATATAGATTGGATGAAATGAGTTTATGCAACTATTTCGTGAAGGAATAACAAATAAATAAAAAGATGGGGGTTTTGAATTGATCGAACTACCTAAAATAATAAAAATTAAATTCAATTAAAATAAACACGAAGATGAAAGATTCAAGATTTAACTAGAGTAAATCACGGAGATAAAATATCCAACCAAAGAAAAAATTCGTAGAAATGGTTCGATGATTCGATCATAGATGCAAAGATAATTCTCTTATTCTCAATTAAAAACTGGTTATGGTTATTGGTACAACCTAATAACCTATCCTTCCTTGTTCGATAATCAGGATACGATCTCTAATTATTTCTCCAATCAACAGACAGTCCTAGATACCATCATGGGATTTAATCTATCAACAGTATTAAAACTAGAAGGATCACCAATTCTAGCCAACAAACACACATGTAGGATTATTTAGACTAGATCATATATCTCCCTAAACATAAAATCGAAAACCCTTAGTAATCAACTAGGTTTTTCGCCACCAATATGAGAACAATCAAACAATTACGGATTTAATGTTCTAAATGGCAATATGCTATTCCGATAATTGAACAAGAGCTCTTTTGCATCAATCAATCAATCAAAATAACAATTGGTAATAAACACAAGAGACATACGAATAAAAGAGAATAGGGAATTGAAAACACAATTAGATCTCACAAATCATGTAGAACCAAATCAAGAATAATCCTTTGGCTGGAAAAATAATTTAGCTGTCCATAAACATGGTAGTCTTCTCCAAAATATTCATTCTAAAAATAATAAAGACAATAGAAATAAAATAAATTGCAGTATAAACTTCATATATTATATTATTTCTCTTTCCAACTCAAGACTCCTTCATTCTTCCAACTCTTGTAAGAAACGCCTTATCTCAAATTCGTCTCTTTCTCTCTCCAATCATCATAAATTCCAAATTCTGAGATATCCTACATAAATTATAAAATTCAATTAAAATCAATAAATAAGCTCAAATAAACACCGAAAAGTATGGAAAACATGACAATTAACATGCCAAGAATACAACTTATCAGTTTTAGGATCGGACAGTTGTCTCTTTGTTATTGGCCAAATGTAATTTTTTTATTTTTTAAAAAAAAAATAAAAATAAATACTAATATTCATATTTTTTCATTCTCTACACATATAGACCACACTCGATATTTTTATCTACCGTATACCTTATCATCATTTGTATAAATTTCAGTATCATCTCAATATTTATTTTATATATAGTATAAACATAAAATTAGCAGTCTGATTAATGTTTTGTATGTTGTATTTAGGGCTGGTATCGGTTCGGTAACCGAAGCGATACCATTAAACCGATACCGAACGAATACGTTCTGTTTCACTAATATGCAAATCAAAACCGAACCGAAAAGAATTCGGTAACCGACATTCGGTTTCGGTTTAAACCGATAAAAACCAAAAAAAAAAAATTACTGTGCTTTAGTACGGCAACAGCAGCCAGGATACTAGCTATGAGAACAATGGAATGAAATAATGAAGCAACCGAAATATAAGAACAGCAAAGTACATCAGCAGCAACATCAACCAAAAAAGAAAAAAATAGTGAGCATGAGCACAAAATATTACCAGCTTAAGTGATTAACTAGTTTGTTTATGAACAACTAGCCTCTAGAAAAACATACCGAAACTTACCAATTACCAAATGAGCAGGAGCACGAAATATCTCGGGCTTAAGAACAATGGAATATAAGAGCATCAAAGTACAGCAGAAGCATCAACCAAAAAA